CGAGGGGGTTGGGGTGGGGTGTGGGGCGGGGGGGGGGGCCTGGAGTCCACCGTGAGCGGGAGAGCAGGCAGCCTCATACCTACCTCTTGAAATACTCCACCTCCCGGTCAGTCTCATCCATCTCCACCCCATCCATGTCCTTGGGCAGGAACACATCGTCTAGGAAGACACAGCCAGGAGGGCTCAGTGCTCACAGCCAGGCGTCTGGGTCATGCTTTTGGGGCAATGCTGCTCACATGTGAGGACTGCCCTCCACCCCATGGCCTGGCTGGGTGGGGGGATCAGCCACTCAGTTCCTGGTGCACTCACCCAAGGAGGAGGCTGACTTCTCCTGCTTGTTGCGGCTCCGGCGGCTGCGGGCCTTGCCCTGTGGCAAGCTCTGTGGCCTTGCTGGGCCTGGGGGCTGCACAGACTCCTGCTCCAGAGGCTGTGCCTTGGCTTCACCTGGCCAGTTTTGCCAGGAGCTGCCCTTCTCCTTGTCAGCTTTGGGGCTGCTAGCCCAGCCTGGTCCTGGTCGGGTCCCCTGGCTCCCTTCTCCAGCCTCGGCACAGCTGTCCACTCTGGGAGGCTCTGGGGCCTTGCTTGGCTGCTTGGGGCTGGGGGTCTGGCCCTTGGCACTGGGAGTCTCAAGGCAGGCTGGGGACTGGGGAGCTGGGCTCACCTTGGTCTTCTTGGCCTGACTACCCTGTCTCTTGCCCTTCCGTGGCTTGCCACCTGCGGCCACAGGATCAGGCAGCTCCTGCTTGCAACCAGGGACCTCCTTTACACTTAGCTCCTCAGAGCTAGGGTTACCTGGCTTGGGTGTCTTGACCCAGATCACCCGGGACAGGTTGGGCACTGTGTTGAGTCTCCTCACTAGCCCATTCTCAGGGATGATACCAGGTGGGGGGCCCCTCACCTCTGTCCATGGTGGGTGGAGACTTCTCATTTCTGCCCATGGTGGGGCTGGCTCGCCTGGAGCGTGTAACATATGGTTCTGAGGGGAGCCCAAAGTCAAAGGGGACAGGTCAAGGTTAATGTCAGGCCATTGCTCTGAGGAGCCATTGAGGTTTGAGGGGGCTAGACTCTGAGGCTCTGGCTCAGCAGCCCCCTCTTTAGTGAAGCCATTGCTGTTCATGCTGAGCTCACACACACTGAAGCTGGCGCAGATGGAGTCCTTGACAGTGTTCTTGATCTCCTGTAGACGGCTGCTCAGAAAGCTGTTGACCCGATCCAGCTCCTGATCAGGCCACTCCAAGAGCCTCTCCCTGGCAGGCCTCAGCTCCCGGCTTCCAGAAACACTACGATTTGCCTGCTTTAGAGCTTCTGCTGCCAACTGGGCCTTCTCCTTTTCCTGCCAATACAAGAGGCAGTTTCCGCAGGGCCTTGGCAGCTGCCAGGCACAATGCGACACCTGACATGTCTGCCTCTGGCTCAGCTTTGCCACTAACTGGCTAGAGGCAGGGCCGGGCAATCCTGGCCTGCTCACCCTGCAGTAATGAGGATGAAATGCAATCAGATAGGTACATGTCCTGGGGATGGAGGCAGTTATACCCACAGAGGATAGGGTTTTTACATCTTGTTCATCCAGGGCCCCAGTAGCAGTTCTAGGGCCTAAAAAAGCTAAGGCGGCTAGGACTCAAAAGGGACAGGATCTGCCTCCCAGGCATAAGCTTAAACAACTCACTCACTTGCTGAGTCTCAGTGGACTCATCTGCAAAATGGGGACAATAATTCTGGAGTGAAGACCAACGTGGGAATGCATTAAGGAAGATGGCTGCTACAGAGGCATTCTCTCCAATTCTGCAGGTGGTAGGGGAAAAAAAGCCATTGACATCAGGTAGGTCTTTCAAGAAGGAAGATGTGGGGTTGTGAAACTACCATGGTAGATCAGACTGCTCTGGGTGGCTGGGAATGTGTGTGCCCTCCTGATGTCACATAAGGGAGGCTATTGGAGAGGGCCAAGTTCCCACAGGAAGGCCACTCAGTGCTTAGTTGGCCTCGGGCAATCAAGGCCATGCCTAAAGCATGCCCAGTGGCATACAACAGACAGCCACATGGGGTCCCCACAGCAAGATGTAAAAGCAGCCCCTTTGCCCGCGTGAGGACCAGGAGGCTGAGGAAGGCTGGACCCTGCCACTCAGCATTGACAGAGTCAGATCTGGAGAATGAAAACATGTCTGTGGGCTCTGAGTCAGCTCACCCCTCTGCCTAACCTCAAGGCACTAGCAGGCTAAGGAGGCCTTTAGAGGGAGATGGGAGACAGGCGTCAAAAGCCAACGGGGGGCTTCCCTGGTGGCGCAGTGGTTGAGAGTCCACCTGCCAATGCAGGGGACACGGGTTCGTGTCCTGGTCCGGGAAGATCCCACTTGCCGCAGAGTGGCTGGGCCCGTGAGCCATGGCTGCTGAGCCTGCGCGTCCGGAGCCTGTGCTCCGCAATGGGAGAGGCCACAACAGTGAGAGCCTGTGTACCGAAAGAAAAAAAAAAAAAAAAAAAAAAAAGACGGGAACAAGGTAGTGGTGTGCTAGGAGCCAGATGATTTCACCATTTCACCTATTTCAGGCTGATTTGGGAATGGAGAGGGAGAAACAGGATGAGTAAAGAGAGAAAAGAGGTCTTGCGACCACCTCAATGTCAACTTAACAGGTGACCCTGTGCCCCAGCGGGCATACATTTATTCTCTCATCTTTTTAAAATACTAGCTCCACAGCTGACTAGGACCACAACCGTGGGACCTTGGACAAATCACTTATTCTCCCTGAACCTTAAAATCTCCATTTGCAAATTTGGGAGAAAAACTGCCAACCTATATACGTCAGAGGGTCATTATGAGGACACCTGAGTGGGTGTGTGCCCCTTTCCCTGGGCACTAATAAGGCTGTGCCTTGGCAATTGGAAGGCTGTGCCTTCCAACTCAGGTGAGGAAGAGAAACAGTCTAGAGCAGCTGTGTGCTGTGGAGTTCAATGCTACAGAGCTCTTAGGCCATGGGGATGGACAAAGAACTGGAAGGCCCTTCACTCTGTTCCTCCTCTGCACCAGAACAGCTTTGCTTATATTTGTTAGGAATTGAGGTTCCATGGAATATTGCAATTGCAAAAAAGAGTTTTGCTGCTCTACAAAAGACTGAAAACTACTGGTGTAGAGGGAGTGACGTGGAATCATGTATAATTTGGTAGTGAGAGAAGGAGAAAGCACAGAACCATGCATTTTCTGCTATGTACCATGAGCCTGGTACTTCCCCATGTTGTCTCACTTAATCCTCACAACTGCCCTTGCTGTGTCGTTACCCTCAATTTACAGATGAGGAAACTCATCTTTGGAAAGAATAAGGAACTGGCCCAAGATTACATGCTAATTAAGAGGCAGAGTCAGGAAAGCACACCCAGGGGTGATCTTCAGAAGTTCTTATGTTTTTCAATATCTTTTGACAATCATTTTTTGACTTGTGATTCTATGAGGCACTGGGAATTCAGCCATGCATGAGACAGTCTCTGCTCACTGACTTGAATCTGCCAGGGGAGACGGACATGCAAACAGGCTGTTTAATTCTGAGTGCCAGTGACAAGAGGTACAAGGAAAAAAGCACAGAGTGCTCTGGGAACCCAGACTTGGCCATCAGGAGGTGGTTGCCAGAGAAGGCAGTGTCTCACTGAGCACTGAAGGGTGAACAGGATTATCCTGGGAAGTGTGAGACAAACACTTTCTAGACAAAAGGAAATAGAAAGGCTGGGAAATGGGAACAGGCGAAATATTTAGGGAATGCAAACATTCAGAGGGACAGCTGGAGCACAGATTTCTTCTGGTGCGGGGAATGGGCAGGAAGGTGATAGGGGCAGACTGAGAGATGAAGCTGGAAAGCTAAGCAGGGACTGGATCCTCAAGAGCCCTGCAGGCCATGCTTGAGCCTGGATTTGACCCTAAGGGCAATGTTCAGCCACGGAAGGCTTTTTAAGCAGTGGCAGTAGGGTGTGAGCTACTTGGGAGGTAGCACAGCCAGGACTTTTGGTTATGGGTGGGGAGAGAGAATAAGATGAGTCATGAAATGAACATCAACAACCACTACTGCTGCTGCAGCAGCTACACTGACCAAGCGTTCACTCTGCCCAACCTTTCTGTGCATCACTCCATTTTATTCTTGCAAAAGCCTTGAATTAGGTTCTACGGTTATTCTCATTTTATGGAGGAAGAAACTGAGGCTTAGAAGTTAAGTGATTTGCCCAAGGTCATACAGCAAATATGGCAGAGCCAGGTTTCAAACTGGGGTCCAATTCCAAGGCCCGCTGCTCTCCATCACCATGATGTAGTCCTCCCAGAATGGCACCTGGGGTTCTGGTTCAGGCAACTGGGTGGATGGTAGTGCCGTTAACTAGACAGACAACGGAGAAGGAAAAGCGGGCTCTTTGGACAAAGATGACAAGCTCAGTTTGGGATATGCTGAGTTTGGGTACCTGCGGGACATGTGTGAGGAGGTGCCCAGCAGCAGGAGATGTCACCATGAAGCGCAGGGAGGAAACAGGTGGACATAATGACCTGGGAGGCAACACTATCTAGATGGCTATTTCCCAGGGACCTGTCCTCAAGGGGGAAGGCCAGGCAGAGGAAGAGGCGCTCACAAAGGAGACAGGACAGAGGGCAGAGAAGTGAGAAATGTGGAGAATGTGGCCTCCCCATTGCCCTTTCCCCACCCCCACTTGGCTGAAGTTGGAGGAGCCAAAGAAAACAGTGTTTGAAAAGGAGAACAAACAAAGTGAGATGTTGCCTAGTGGAAAAGAAGATGGAACAGGAGAGAATGATCTGGCAACAAAGAACTCATTGGTGGCTCTGTGGAGCAGTGGAGGTGGAAGACAATTTGCAGTGAGCTGACAATTGCAGAGTAAATGCAGATGACGTCTTTCTGTGATGAGGAAATAGACTGTGTAGTGTGAGGTTGTAAGCTCAAAGGACAGTCTTCTTTCAAAAAAAAGAGTACTGGGCACAGTGAACTGCTGACGGGAAACAGCCCAGAGAGGCTGGAGCCACACAGTAGGAAGCTGGTGTTAGACTGAGGAGGCAGGAAGGACTGCACAGACCTTAGGTAGGAAAAGGGCTAACTTTTCCCTCATGACAAGGAAGTCTGCAGGTGGGGTGGTAAGACATTGAAAGAGTGCCCATCCACTCAGCTTTTAATCCTTGTTGAAACAGTAAGTAAGGTTATCTGCCAAAAAATAAGGTGGGGGTGGGGAGAGCCTGGCAGTTGGAGCAGAATGGAGGTCTGACAAAGGGACTGGGGAGAATGGAAGTGACGAGGAGCCAGAAGACTAGAGAGCAGCAAAGTGGGGGCTCAGGCACTCGGGAGACCACTCGGCCTGGGTGCCACAGATAGATTCAATCCAGTGCCTTCCTCAAGGTGTAGAAGGGGAGAGGCAGGCTGGGGTCAAACCCAGGACTGGTTTTTCTGAGCGAGTGTAAAGGAAGGGCAACGGGGCAAGGAACTAAGAGGACTGGTAGGAGAGTGAATGAATGATGTTCAAGGTAAGGGAAGAAGGACAGGAGACAGTCTTCAGTGGAGGAAGAGGAGTGGTGGTGGGAGGTTGCAGATGACACGGCCAGGGGCTGGTTTCAAAGGAGCAAGGGTTAGGACGTGAGAGTGAGTCATGGTCCAGAAATTGTATGAGGGAGCAGAAAAATACCCAGCTTTACCTGTCTCCCCAGGTGGGTAGTGGGTGGATGGTTCTTGGTGGAAGCTGTGTTTTTGATGGACTGTAGTTAAGTCTGGGAGGTGGAGGAGGGGTACCGTGGAGGAGGTTGATGTATAAACAGATAATGACCATGATCGCTAGTTACAGGATATCAGAACTACCCGCTTCTGTGTTGTATCTTGGCCTCTAGACTGGGCAGGGCAGACAGTAACTGGGCAGGAAGTTTCTGAACGAGTAGAGAATGATAAAAGGCAGACTAGAGAGACATGCAAGGGGCAGCCGTAGCACAGCGGAAGATATTACCTGAGGAAGACTGCAAAGAAGGAAACATGTGAATTGGGCTTGGGAGGAGGTTTTCAGAAGGAAAAAGAGGGGGCAGACATGAAGGAGAAAGGATATCCAGGCATAGCGATTTATGAAAAGCACACCAGGCCTGGGAACTGTGAAGCTTACTTGCTGGGACCTAACTAGGAACCACTGCCTTGGGAGGCCAGGAAAGGCCAAAGAGACCACTGCTGCCCACTGCACACTTCTGGCCAGGCAATGCTGGCTAGGAGACAGAAAATGCTGACCATTTTCTGAAGGCAGTGGTGGGATCCTGTGGCTTACTACTTCAGGCTACAAAGAAGGGGTCCTGGTTTGTCCTTTGGTTTGGAAAAAGATGGAGAATCATTGCTGCTTTCCTGAGCACCAGGGCTGTTTGACCACCCAGGACCTGGAGCTAGCCAGTTGTCAAACCCACTCTCTTCGGCTGAGCTCCTGAGTGTGGCACTGTGCAGACAAAGCTGAGGGCAGGCAGGCCAAGAGGTAATGAGGTGGCAGGGGATGAGCAATCAAACTGTGGTGCTTGCCTGGCAGCAGGGTTGCCCAGGAATAGCTCCCCTGGTTCTATCCTCAGCCTTCTGGGAGGAGCTCACTCAGCCCTCAGGCTGGGTCATTCCCATGGCTTCAATTACATCCCCATGCCAGCAACTCCCAGACCCACACCTCCATCTCCACTTGGACGTCTCATGAGAATCTCCGAGTCACCATGTCCCAACTGAATTCCCAGTCTTCTGCCAATTGCACCCTTGCTCATTAAAGGTACGCCATCATGACAGTCACCCTAGCAAACACGTGGGAGATAATCCCAAACTCCATCATCTCCTTGTCCTGCAATCAGATCACCTGCCTCCTCTGAAAAACCCATCTCTCTTGCTCCAGGCCCATTATCAATCATTTCTCCCCTGGTTCTTGGTCCTCCAGCCTGGAGTATTACCCCTCCAGGCTACCTTCCATACTGTCACACGGTAATCTTGGGATGCAGATCTGGCGAGTGCATTCTGTGATTAAAGCCCTCCAGTGACCACCCCACCCCCCTGCAGCTGTAGGATCAAGTCAAAGCCCAAGAGGCCCTTCCCTCACCTCCACTCTCTCTCCTACCTCTCTCGGGTTTGAGCTCCGGCTTCACGAAGGTGCTGTGGACGTGCTATTCCTGCT